AACACTGCATTACATCTGAGATCTTGTCAACCATGGATGATTTGCGGTGACCCGTTTCATGAATACAAAGCCAGTGGCAGTGTTTGCACGATATCATGTTCCTTCCAGACAAAATTGCGATGATTAAGTGCCACACGGTGCCACACTCATTGAAGCAGCGGAATGAGGAGCTCCACAGACGCAAGAAAACTGATAAGCACAAAATTAGTGTAGCTTGGACAGTTGTTCATTCACTCACTCTTTGTATGACCACAGTATAACTTGTGGTCGCTACATGCAGTAGATCTCAGCAGTGTTCCCCTGCGAAAATTAGCTAAAACTTCTCCATTTTTACGACGGGCACAGACAAGCACAGTTTTGCCGTGAAGAGTCTTACGTTTCTTTCCGGCAAAACTCGTGGTGGAAGTTTTGAGGGAGGCACTCAGTCGCTGACAGTCTGAAATTCACCTTAGTCAGTTAGTTACTTCTCCGAGGAAGAATGGATCATGTCATACGACAGTTTCAGTCCGTCATGGCAACCTTTCAAGTTGTGAATTTAAGCTTTCATTTCCGTTGCTCCAACTGGATAGAAGAATTGTTCCAGGGGCCGATATAGATTGATCAGTCTGCTGACCGAGTTCGGATGGCCTTCAGCAATGTGGCTCGTAGGACTGCCTGATTATGTGGAATCGGTACGACTGCATTTCAAAAAAGTTATTTGCATTTGCAAAGAAATTTAACTTTCCTTGTCCTTGTGACTTTGACTCACTTTGATCGATACTATCAAGATGCTCGTATGCACGTATCAACTGTTCGGTTCGGCTGATGTTTGTGAGATCCGTTTATTATGCGTGACATGTGGAGAGCACGTGAAATACACTGTTAACTAGCGTAAACAGTAGAATGGCTGTGGGACGCTTCAAGTTGAAATACTACAACTTGCTGTATTAATGTACTTTGGTCGTGAACTTTAGGTTGTGGATAAGAAGCATGCTTCTTTTGGGTAGTTGATTACCGTTTTCTTCTGATCTTCTAATGCCGCTCTCATTGTACTTTTTATCCAAGGTTTTGTAGTCCTCTAGTCAGTCGTTCAGTCACTTTGTCAACGGCTGGAACGCAGGAACCTCGATTCACATTCTGTCTCTGAATAGACTATTCGTCAAAGCAGTTGAAGGATTTCCCATCCAAGTGACCGTAGCAAGTCAACATATCTTGAGTAGAAACTGAACAACTAGCATCGGAAGTCTGTCCTTTAATGCTGCTTCATTAACATCCATTGGGGACTATTCTAGACATCCTTAGTGCGGTATAAGCGGCTTTAGACT